AAGGGATAGATTAGTTGTTACTGTCTGTAAATTGAGGAAATGCCAGTTCCTAGGTTGAGAGGGGGAAGCCATGAAAAATGATCTGCTCATTCCCTTATTTCAGATAGGACCATAGAACCATCAGCTCAGGCAAAGGAGAATCTGTGCTTTGGAAAAAAAGTCTGTAAGAATGCTACACTGTTAAACCCTCTGTCCCATTGTCAAGAAATTCCAACAGTCTAACCTAAGTCCCTCCTGCTTAAAATCCTTTTGTCGTAGTTCTATCTTCAACTATAATCTTATCACTACAGACACTTTAGTTGAAGGGAGTTTGAATACCCTATCAGCAATCTACACATTTATTTCTTGTAATCTACTGATTGTGGGTGTGAAATTTCATTTGAAATGCTGTTGCAGTTTTGTCCTCAGTATATCAAGAAAATCTCTGGGATTCCTAGTTGAGCAATTAGAAAGCAGCTGCATTTAGAATCTTGGCTCCAACTTAAACCTCTGCTCACTTAAAAAGGTAAAAGAATATTTACTTGATGCTTCCTTTTTACCTCTCTATCTTCCCTCCCCTAAAAAAAAGATTTGCAGCAGGCATTTTATTGAGGGAGACGACATACAATCAGTTTAGTACCATGGATACTTTGAAAAACCCAAGTTCTAAGGCTTTGACCTTAGTTGTCAAGTTGTGGCCAATTCCCATCCACCATCAGCTTTTTGGGTTTATGGTGCTTTACTCTCGGACAACTTAGTGGTGCAGGCAACTTCTAGATGGTGTAGGGTGACGAACTGTCCCAATTTTAGCCCTAAAATCCTGTGTTCCAGGAAACCCTTGGTTTGAGCAAACAGAAAACTGGGACATTGGTGGTTTTTAGCAGTTGAGGGAGGAAGAGAAACCACTTAAAGATGAGAGGCAGGGGATCTGGTAGAAAGTGCTTTGGAGCATTCCATGTCTAGGTTTGAATTCTAGCTTTGTCACCTTAGGTAGATCACTTCACCTCTCTGTTCCTCTGGAGAGCTCTGTCAGAACAGAGTGGTTTCTGTTAGAGCCACGTGCTTGGCCTTTCTGTCTTGCCATTTATCATCCCCTTCATGTGCTTACCAAAAGTTGAGAGAGTGAAGTCTGCGTGCTAGAGTGGAGCTGAGTGCTGGTGATGCAAACTGAAGGCTCATGGTTTCTGCCCTCCCCAAGCTTAGAGCATAGTGCCATCTGTGTCACTGCAGCCATAGTGGAGGCTGTTCAGTAGTAGTCCTTAGGACTTGCTGCCTGGATAGTCCACATTTATTGCTCTGGTAACTTGAGAGCAGTCTCTCTTACTAGGAGATAGTAGACTGAGATCCCTAAAGACAGCCTTTCAGACTAAAAGAATCAGGTCTTCCTTGACCCTTCAGATTTTGAAAGCTTCTAGTTCTACTCTCTTTAAGTCTCTTTTTCCCCATTTGGAGTCCCAGCTCTGTCCCTTATTAGCAGTATAACCTTGAGCAAGTGACAACTTCTTTTGGGGCCTTAGTTTATTTGTAAAATAGAGGTAATAATGATTCCCACCTCATGAGTTGTTAGAGGATTCAATGAGATCATTCCTGTTAGCATTTAGCAGAGTATCTGCCACATAGTAAACAATAGATGGAAGGAATGAAATGATTCCATTTTCTGCATGTCTCCAAGGGTGTTGGGGTACCCCTTGCCCAGATTCTGAGCACCTCAGAGAGAGGAGCCACATCTCATTGCATTTATCTGTGTCCATACCCAGCCCGTACCTGGTAAATAGTAGTTGCTTAATAGTATTGTTTTATGACCTCATGATGATGATGATATGACCCATCTTTCAGAATTAATAAGGGTAAAATAAGAAAATATATTTGAAAGCACACTGTAAACTGAAAAACCTAACAGTCGGTATGTTCCTCCACTAAGATATTTATCTTAGTGCGTTGTTCATTATTTGTTAATGTATCTTTTCTCCTCACTAGTCTGTGGACTTCTCCAAAGTGGAGACTACATCTTAATTCTGAATCCCATTCCAACACCTGTACAGTGTCCCTCACACAGTAGATGCTCAGGTGATTTAGTTGAATTCAAATGACATACAAATGTAAGGAATTGTGAAACTATTAATAAGAGAAGAAAAAGGGACTGGTAAATGCAAATTGGTTCTTCTTTCCTTCCTGGTGCTACCTTTATACAAGCAGACACTCAGCTATTCCTTTAAAAAGGGACTTCTTTCATCATTCTAAAAGAATGATGAAATTGAGGGAGGGGAAAGGAGAAGGGACAGGAATAACTTTCATTCTCAAAGCAACTGCCCCTAGAAGCTGGCACTTAAGCACATCTTCATAAGCTCTTGAAATTAATGTGGTCATCATATAATTTGGGGGTAACCTCTCTGAGTTACCCCTTTTTTTTCTTGGAGCTGAGGCTGGCTTGTTCCTCCTCTCTAGGAGGGCAATAATGAGCGTGAGCACGTAGGTTGGTTCCATTTCCCCAGGGGTGAAGCCAGCAGCAGGAAAGTTGGAGCTGCAGTGGGGAAACCCACAGGCCAAGTTTTCAGAGAATCTACTGGGGATGCTGACTCGGTGCTGGTCAGAGCAGGAGCTGAAGCGCTTACTATTTTATAATAAATACTAATGAAATTTAGATCCATAATAACATTTCAGATATCTAAAACAAACCATGTGCATGTAAAAAAGTGGAAAGAGATCAACTTTAAGCCATAAATTCTTGGTAATAGAGGGGGTTTTTCTATTTGTGTTTGATAGATATTTTTGTTTCCAGAGGAATGTCAACTCCTAATTTCATAATGTATCACGGGTTTAAGAAAATTGAATTTAATAAAAGCCAAAGATGAATGACATCTTTAAAGGTCCCAACACTTGTCTTTATTAGCAGGACAAACTGCAGGTCTCCAAACACTGCTTCTCTCGAAATGAAAGTTTAAATGAAAAGTACAGTTGTGTCACAGGTTAAATTTCATTGTGGGCCCAGCTAACAATGTTACTGAGGAACTGGCTGTATTTGTTTCCTGAGACACCAGGGCAGCCGAACTCACCAGGCTATGGAGCTCTTTCTGTTGGGTAAATATTTTTTCTGCTTAGTGGGAGATGAAGGACACATCTGAAATTGAAGAGTCAGATGAGCGTGGCTCAGATGAGCCCCACCTCAGAGTTAGCTCTTGGAGATCTTGGATATCTGATTTTTCAGGGTAACTAATATGTATATTGTATGTGTGTATGTGCCTCAATTTTGCTTTTTAACAACACTCTCTTCCACTTGGCCAGTTTTGTAGAGCATTGTGGGGAATGAGAGGCCCAGGGAATTGGGGGGCGTGTTGAGAGAAGCATCACCTATTCTAAGCAGCAGCCTGGGCCTCCTCTCTGCCCCCCTTCAGCTTCAGCATTGCAGCCTCTCTACCCTTCCTATTTTGGGGGCTCCTGTGAGCTTCCCTATCTTTGGGAGCCACCCCAGGGAGATCAGGCAACCAGAACCTTTGAATTTCTCCAACATGAAATCTGACTGGCTTGATTTGCTCTTCAATCCTGCTGTAATGTGTTGGATAAAAATAGATGCTTGAAAACAAGCCCAATAGTAGTGGGTATGTTTAGGGGGCTGGAGGAAGGATACCTGTCTGCCCTGGGGTATCAAGGAGATTGGCCATTTCTCCTGCCTTTCCATGTGCCTGTTTCCTGAGTGTAGTCAGGTGTCAAGAGCTTCACTGCTGCTTTTCCAGGCTGTCCCTGAACAGAACCAATTTGCCTTGATTTTAGTGATGCTAGAAAGGTCCTCTCCAGAGTGGGGGACTTGGGATAGGGATGCCACTGGAACTGACTGCTGGGACGACTGAGTGGGCAGAGCCCCCCTTCTCTCTCTCTCTCTCTCTGCAGTGGAGGCCTTTTCCACATGCTAATTTTACTCAGAGGATTTTGCTTTTATTTATTTTTTTTATTATTTCCTATTTGTCTCTTCCAGATGTTTTCAGGGCAGTTTTTTTGTGTTGTAAACTAATTCCATTCATGTTTTAAAAATTTATGAAAGCGCTAATAAAAATGTCAAAGTGGTAAAAATGTTAGCTTTTCCTGTGCTTTGATTAAATTTTGCAAACTGTTTTTGAATATTAAAAAGCAATAATTTTTTTTATTCTCTCTGCTTGCTTTCCCTCTTCTCTCTGGTGTGTGTGTGCTCTCTCCTGCCCTCTCCCCACTCTGGTGCATTCCTCCCTTCCCAGGAGCGATGTATGAGGCTTGCTGCACAGCCAGCATTCTGCAAGCCTGTTTGCACACCAGGACCTTGGTGCTGTGCATCTCTATTAAATAACGGAGACAAATTAATCTTAGAGACACCAAACAAATTGTCACTCCTCCTTCTCTTCCATTACGTTCCAGTGGACTGGGAAGGTCTGGTTAAGCAATTTGGGGTGGGAGATCCAGCTGGGGGGAGGGCTTAATGCCTGAAAGAAAGGTGGAAGGCACCAGCTCTTATTACTCTTACTCAGTTTTCCCCTCTTTAGTATCCCCTTTGGCTTTCCTTTCCCCTTCCTTCCTTCCTTCCTTCCTTCCTTCCTTCCTTCCTTCTTTCCTTTCTTTTCTGGCAAAAACTGATGAATAAACTCCTCAGCTCTGTTTTAATTGATATACAGGAGGCTGTGCATTGGTCTGATGGCTAATTATCTATATGGCTGGAGATCCAGGCCCCTTCCAGGGCAGGGACCTGGTTAGGGGAAGGAGGGGCTGACTTTTAGGGGCTCGAGTGAGCAAGCCTTTGCTAGAGAACCACTTGGGAAAACTGGGGCAGATTGCACTACTGTCTTCCTTCGCCTTTTTAGAGACAAGGGGAATGGGGATGGGGCATGAGTCCAGTCCCTGGAACCTGTGAGCATATTCATAGTGGGAGGGTTAGGACTGTAACAGAGTTAGCACCATCTCACTCAGTCTTGGATTTGGCCTGGCAGGAGGTAATGAGTTCAAAACACTACCTCATTCTTGACTCTGAGTTATTATTTGAAGTGTCTTTGCTATTCCAGGAAATCATCGAGTTCCCCATCCTGAAGCTAAATGGCCGGACCATGGAGATTGAGTCTACTTTTCACATGTATGTCCAGCCCGTAATCCATCCACAGCTTACTCCCTTCTGCACAGAGGTAAGGGCCCTAGAGCTTGGCAGCAAGGGCCACTGGGGCAGGAGCTTTTGGATCATTGGTATACAGGGAAAGTTAGTCTTATCAGTAGTTAAGGCAGGTGCACGTTGGACCCAGCTGTTGGCTCTTTACAATCTGCTACTCTACTTGGGCCACTCTGGTCATTGGAGACCCAGGGAAAGCAGTGGCACAATCTGTCGCAGCTTCCCCAACATTTTCCCTTCCTTGTAATCCCTACCCTTCCTGGTGGCTGGACACTTGGAGTCAAGGAACAGGATGGTGCTTCTGGGGCTCAGATTCTTTTCAGTTTCATTTCCTGTAGGGTCCCTTGGCAAGTGGTGAAAATTTCAGCTTCTTAGAAGGAGAGGTTCAGGCTTTCTTAGCTTTCTGATGATGTTTCTCTGTTCTTGTGGAAAGTGGCCCTATGTGAAACATTGGTTGGGTTTGTGGGAAGCACACTCTATCACCAAGGAAAGGGAAGGGCAATCCAAGTGGGGCATGAGCACAGCCTGGCCAAGGCTGAAATGTCCTATCCTTGTTCTAGGCCAGTACTGTACGTAGCCACCTTGTCAGCAGATTAGTATTGGCCCCATTTTACAGACTGTGAAACTGGGACTAACTAAGATCTTCATTTCTGCTGGAGGTTCAAATGAACCATTGGCAGAGAGGAGGCACAGTTAAGAGTTCTGACTCTCATGACTGTATGGAGAGCCTTCTGTGGCTGCTTTCCCCTGTGATGTGTTATGTTATGCTCTTTGTGGTGTCCACAGGCTGTGTAAAATCATGAGAATGGTCAAGAATATGATGGGAGAACATGAGTATTTCTAGAATTCTTTCAGAATTTGGGGCTGGGGTACATTAGAGACTTTGTGCCTTCATTTAGAGACCTACTTTTACATATGAATGAAACAGGAGGAAAGACATTCTTGAGTAATCCCAAAACAATCTCATTGGTGTGGAGGAGACTGGGGGAGGGCCTGCCTGCTACTGGTGGGAGGGCCTAGATATGAGGTCCTGAGGGTCACTCTTGGGCTTGATGCCAGTGTTTGCTCCCTGACTCAAGTGGGCGTTTTTGTGGCAGGCATCCATCTGCCAAGGTGTCTAGTCTCTCAGGCCTTTTGTTGTTCCAGCTAATGACATTGAGGTTCTTTCTCCCTTTGGGGTCTACTGTTTTTCCCCCCTTTCCCTGGGAATTGCCTATACCACCAGGGGATACTAATTCACCTTTTTGCCCCTTTTGAAAAATCAACATTTTAATGACATGGAAATCCCCTTCCTTACGGGAGGAGAAGGGAAAAACTTTCCTTAAACCAGCCAGTTACCTGAGCCCTCCACTGGCCTGAAAGTGTAGTGTCCTCTGTCTTTCTCTTCCTCTTCTCTGTGTATAACTTCCCCTTGGGGGTCCAGCTCCAGCTAGGTGCTTGGCATAGACAAGGAGGCCCAAATTTGTCAAGGTTGCTACCTGTTTAGGGATGGAGCAGAGCACTTCTGGAGCTCAGCCTGGGCAAGAGTGGATGCTCCATAGTATTGGGAAAAGTGATCTTTTTTAAAGTAGGGCTGCAGCTGCTTTATTTTTTTTGGGAGGGAGGAGGGATTGTTGGACACTGATGAAAACTATGTTTCTTTTTTCTAGAAAGTTTCACTCAAGGACATACATACATAATTTGGATGGTAGGCATGATGGTATTGGGACTTCCTTGTTATGAAAGTAAAGGTGTGGCTGTGCTGCAGGCACTGAGTCTTCGTTTTGTCTCAGGCTTCTGGAGCTCAAAACTCTCCCTGACCTGGTCCCTGCCTTTTTGTCCAGCCTCATATCTCCCTGCTTCATCTTCCCCTCACTCCCTCATCCAAAGGTCACCCTCTCACAATCCGCCTCTGCACATGATGGTCCTTCGCCTGAATGATGCTCCCGCTCTCCGCCCCCAGCCCTACTTGTCTCCCTAGGATTCTGCTTAGGGTCATCTTCTCTGGGAAGCCTGGGAAGGCTGGATTGTGCTCAACCCAATCTAACACTGATCATGTACATTATACTGTAATTACTTACCTGTCTTCTCACTAAACTGAGTTCCTTGAGGGCAGAAACTAGATCTGATCCATCTGTGTCCCTCATTAGGGCCTGGTACCAAGCAAACACTTAATACATACATTCATATGGATGAATATTGTCAAGGAATTATTCAACCATACCTTGTCTCCCCTAGAGTAACTGTACTGCTGACTTGCTCTTTTGAGTAAGTAAAGTGTTTGGAAAACCTCAGATCATCTAAATATTGCCCTATCTCCATACCATAAGAAACAGCTATGTAGAGAGAGGCATGGACACCAGATGGGGGTCATTGTTCTCAGACCTCATTCAAACTGGCAGTAACTGTCTTTCTAGCTAGAGGGAATCTTTCATTAGTAAGTGTGAGGAATAACCCCAAAGCTCCTGGTTGTGCCTAAGCAGCTCCTCTGGTAGAATTTTCTCTCATGCACAAGAAGTTCTTAAGAACTCTGGCAGCTGTGTGTATGTACACACACATGACACATGAGCACACATTGAGCACATGCTTGTGGGAGGAGATAGGCTCAGTGCTGGCAGAAGGAAGAGGGATTCTGCTTTGGGTGAGTCTGTAGCCCACATACAGACACTCTTACTGCTCTGTGTAATGAACATGTTATTGGCCTTCTTGAGGTCCTTTCTTAGTTTCAATTGATAGTCGGTCTGGAGACATGGTTCTGACAGAGATAGGATGGGATGTATTTCATTCTTTCCCAAGCCCTTTCCCTACCACCTCTAGAATATGCTCCAACTCATCAAATCTTTGTCACCAGCAGCTGGACTGCCACCTAGTCCCTGACCATGGGCAGTCTTTTTTGTCATTGTCATTTTCATGAAAAAAACTAGAAAAATAGCCATTTTGCTAAATGCCAGTAAAGGGCTTTGTCTTGCACCTGTACTTATAAAGGGTGAGATTTATTGGTCTCTTTGAGCAGAAAGAGTGGGTCTGATTATCAGATTGCACACCAGAGACAAGTGCTTATGTAATCAACAAACTGTCTTGGTGTCAGGATACGATTGTGTTGGAGATAAACTGTGAAAGGAGAAAGTGCTGGATGCTGACATGCTCTTGGCACTATGTCCTGGGCTGCTTCCTGTAGTTGCTAGTGTGGTGAAGCCAGCTTGTTCTTGGACAAAGCCCTTGTGTGGGTTGGGGATCTCAGTAACCAGCCATGTTATCAGTCAGGGTCAAAAGCCCCTTGCCTTGTGGTTTCTGAGTCTGGAGAAGCGGGAGTTAATCTGTAATCCCTTAGTGAAAGGAGCCACAGAGCACACATTAATTCTTTCTCTCACCTCTCTTGCTTTAAGTGGTTAAGGTCTCTGAGCTCTGTTTAGCCTGTGAGCTCTGGTTCTCAGCTTAATAATACTTGGTTTTGCTCTAGTACCTTTTATTTTAAGGATGTGAAAGCTTTTTACAAATATATATTAACCCAAGTGGGAATGAGCTTAAACTATAGCATGAAAGATTTAGGTTATGCCTAAGGTAGAACTTCCCAGTAGTTATTTTATTAAATTGTCTCTCTCCCTCATAGCTTGTGGTATAAGTCTTACAGGTGTCTTACCAGTTGTCAGCATCAGGTAGGGGGACTAACTTTCTTAATTTCACCCCCTCTTCAGATCTAGTGCCTTGTCAGAGCTGATAAGGTAGTAGTCCATCCTTGGACGAATTAATACAGGGGAATGAGGCCTCCCCTTGGAAGACTGACTCTAGTTGAACCAAGAGCTCAAGCCCTTGTGTCTCTGGGAGTAGAGTCAAGTCCTTTAGGAAGTCAGCTATAAGCCGCGTCTTGCTGCACCACAGGCTTGATATGGGAAGTATGGAGAGAGAGGGAGCGGAGCTCACTGGCTTCCTCCCAGGCCAATGATTCTAGGATTACTGACCACTGGGGAGCAGTTTGAGAAAGCCCCAAGATCCTAGAGCCCTACCCCGCACCCCGATGGTGGAAAGAGGCAGGCCTAGTCTGTAGTGAGAGCTCCTGTAGAGCAACAACCCTGGTTTCCTTTTTGGTAGAGTGATTTTCTCTCTGAAGTCTGTGATTTTCCTTCGGCTCACAGCAGGTGCTTCTAGGGTACACAAATGCTGCCCTTAAGTTCCATCTCCAAGGAGGGGAGGGTTCTTGGCAAGAGTGCCACTGGTTTCCTGTGTGTCTGGAAGCCCTTTGGCATTCAGCTTATCTGAGTTACCCTTGGTGGGAGTCAAGAGAAGGAGTAACCCTACCCTTACCCCAGAAACTCAGACCAGGTAGGAGACCGGCATGCAGACCCTCGAGCTTTCCAAGAAGTAAGAATGACTGTGGGCCCTCTTTTCCAGGATAGGCCCAGCTCCAGCTTGAGGATGTAGCTCCACCCTAGAAGAACTAAGTGGGAGAGAAGCTAGGCCAGAAAGGGCAGTTGTAGGTACATGGACAGTAGTCAGTAATCTGGATATGGGAACTGGAGTTGGTAACAAGTCTACTCTGGACTCTGGCACTTGTGAGCCTGAGACAAAACACAGGGCAACTGCCTGCTCAGTGTATGGCTCTGGAAGGTGTACAGGTTCTGGGTGCTAGCGGGGCTGGGCATAGGAGAGAGCTGCCAAAGAGAACACAGATCCAATAAAGGTTTTCATGTTTTTCTTTACTGCTAGCTCCCTAATTTCTAGAATGATCCCAGCACATTGTAGGCTATCCACGAATAGTTGTTGACTGAATAAAAGGAGTCTTAGCACTCCGAGATTAAAGCTGCTGACCCAGGGCTCAT